GATAATCAGTCCTTTAGTTTCCCCTGGCATTATTTCCAGCATTTCTTTCAGAGATAAGCATCTTTAGGAGGAAAATCTTCTTTTGTTTCTTTTCAGGAGTCCATTTGTCCCATTCTGCCCTTACATTGCCCAGCACTGGTGTACAAAGCTGTCTTCCCAGTTTGACTGTAAGCTTCTCAAAGGCAGGACTTGCACATTAGTCACAGGGAAGACAAGATATTGGATAAATGTTTGCAAAAGGCACTGTAATTCCTTCTCCCAGCTTGCCCTGTCTTCTTTCCCCCCATCTTTACAGAACCTTTCCATGACCATAGCCACATTCTCAGTTTGGGTCTTTCTGGCTCCCACTGCATACTTCTTTCTCCTCCTTGAGAGCAAGAAATACACACAGTCAAAATGGCAGGGTGTTTCATAGACACTTAGTTGTTGAGTCAAATCACAGAGGGTTCCTCCATCAGCAGTAGGACCTCAGCCAGCGTGTTTGGTGCCAGATCTTCCTCACCATACTGACCCAGCTGCTGATTCTTCCTTTGCAGGAGCCTCTGTGCCCATGGAAGGTTTCAGATGAGGAGTATCTGGATTAAACAAGAAAAAACTCAGTAATCACTGATTCTAAGAGAAGATATTCTCTCTGCAAGGACAAAGTGCCCTCATCTTACCAGAACACCGGATGGTCTATGCTAGCCTAACAAGAGCGATGTGTTCAGGCATTTTCAATTCACAAAGAGGCTAAGCACTGGTTCCCACATACAGCACTGTAGGCAGTGGGGAAAATGGACTACATAAGCAAACAAACTGAGTATCTCCCAGAAATGGAGGGTACCAGAGATCTCTGTTCCCAGGCAAGGGCATCCTGCTAAGACCTTGCTTGAGAAAAGGAACATGATCAGCCAGGATATACGGTTTTACATACCATTAATTGTAAGTGCAGTATAAGGTTCAGCTTTCTCTACATCCCTTTATTTTTGATTCAATTGTCTCCTGGGTGGGGAACCACAATATCCCTAAGACCTTAAGACCCATTTCCTTAGTCTAGCTTTTGACATCATAAAGAGGATAAGGTGCGGTACCTCCCCAGACCCCCTATAACTTCCTGTGCACACATCTTATATGGCGCTGACCTCATTCTATTTCAACTGTTTGTTGGCAATTGTTTCTCTCACTAAAATGTGAGTTCATTTGGAGTAGGTCAGGTTAGTTTTACAAGATTTATTGAATATCTTTTCTAACCTAGACACTGCCAGCTGTTGGAGACATAGAAACGAATAAACACTATCTCTGACTCTGAGAAGTTGGTATCTAGTAGGAAAGGCAGATGTAAATATATTTTTCAGTAGGTGCAAGGATAGAGGTATGTGTAAGTTGCCTTGCGCCCAGAGAGCAGTTCTAATATCAGTTTGAGGGAACAAAAATTCCTCAAGTTGGCTGCTGACCTGAATCTTGAAGTTTGAGTAGACAATTTCAATAGAGGAGGGGTCTGAATTTGGGGAGCAGTGGGTCGCTGCCTGGGTTTAGGAATCAAAGACAGTGAGTGCAGATAATTCCTCTCCGAAGATTCAGTGACAATTAAAATGATGTTGTGGAACAGTGTGTCGAACTCCTACCTTCTTCCTTGGTGTGCTCGTCAGAGGGAAATCCTAGGAAGTCTTGGTGTTTGTTGTCATAAATATTTCGTTCCAGTGACTAAAATGGAACTAACCAGGCTCAGTAAAAATTGACTTTCACATTTAAGCTCATCTTATTAAAGTCATCCTTCAAGAATATGTTAGTTACTTTAAAGCAATAAACGAGCAACTTCACAGGTAGCAGTGACCCAAGTGTTTCAAAAACAAAGCGTGATGCACTGCCTGCCACACCCGTTCCCTGCAGACTTCCAGTAATTTAAAACTTGGACTAACGGCAAAATGTAAGTTAAAGGTAAGTCTAACAATAGTCCAAATATATGATTTATAAGGGATTAATTTTTTTGTTTGTTTTATGAAGGGGTGGTAATTGGGTTTATTCGTTTATTTCTATTTGGAGGAGGTACTGGGGATTGAACCTGGGACTTTGTCCATGTCAAGCATGCGCTCTACCACTTGAGCTGTACCCTCCCTCCAGGGGCTAATATTTTTCAACTTCTACTTTCTTATATCTCTTGATGATTCTCACAGAGTATGGAAAGTCTCTTTCCTCCACTGCCCTCCCTTTTTAAAAATAATTTCACTGTTACACATGTCACAGCTATCGGTTGGCTGTCAAACAAGAAATTGTAACATCATATTAAAAGAGAACCCTTACCAATAACTGATGGCACCTATTGGAAAAATATATCCATGGGATGTAATCAGCTAAGGTTCTATATAGTGGCAGTCACAAAGTCTGAAATCTCATAAGAATTATATTCTTTCATTTAAAGAAACTGTGGAATTATGAGAAATGAAACCTTATTTCCTTCCCTAGACAAAGTTCTTAGGCTGTCTACTAAGGAATTTTGGTGTCATTGTCTTTCCTCTAATGAGAAACCATTAAAATATCTTGTTCTACTTGTATTTCTGATTACTGACTGTGGTTATTCATGAACTTGCAAAATTTTCATCACAACACCAATGACCTCAGGCTAAACAGACAATCTCTCAGTATGAGAAGGAAAGGATCTTCTTAAAGGCCTAACTGAAAAAGTTTAATAACTACATTACATAAAAATAAGGAAAAGGTCAGCTTTAAAAGAAGTAATTTTTCAAGATCAGTTTGGATCAATCCCTGTTGCAATAAACATAAGAAATCAAATTTATTTTACTATTGATAAAAAGTTAATCGTAGTTGATCTAAGAAAGAAATGGAAAATTTTGAGCTAACCTGCGGTTTATAACTTGGGAGACAGTCTTTCAGAAATCTCTGAGAACTGTTCTGTCCGTTAGAGGTCAAACACAGTATATACGTTTTTGAGACAAAAAGTTGTATGTAAAATGATGTATTGACAGTTTACACACTCCAGATCTGCACGTACAAAGGGAGTAATGGGTCATCCTGACTCTTTGCAAGATGAAGAAGGAAGGTTATCTCCTAAGGAGATCTGGTTAATACAGATGCACAATATACACTAAAGGGGAGGGAGGATGCCAAAATGCGCAGAAAAAAATTTCATCTTCAAATTTTTCTTGTATTGTCATAAAATATGAATTTTCATTTCATCAATTTCCCCTTTTTGATCATTCATCTTTTAATACAAAGCGCTAGGTGAGCTAACATTCGGTCTCTCGATGCCAGGGTGGTTGCTTTCCTGCTTGGGTCCAGCATGTCCCTGGATGTTGGGTTAATAGCCTGATTCTTTTTTTCCTTTTAGGGGGTTGTACAGACACTGTGGAAGACAGTATGGAGGTTTCTCAAAAAACTAAAAATAGAACTCTCATACTACTCAGCAATGCCTCTCCTGGTTACATATCCCGTAAAACTGAGAACGCTAATTTGAAAAGATACATGCACCCCAATGTGCATAGCAGCATTATTTACAATCGCCAAGATATGGAAACAACATAAGTGGCCATCGACAGATGAATGGATAAGGAAAAGGTGTTATACGCACACCCACACACACACCTACACACACACACACATACGATACTACTCAGCCATAAAAAAGAATAAAATGTTGCCATTTGCAGCAACACGGATGGACTCGGTATTATGCTAAGTTAAATAAGTCAGAGAAAGACAAAGTATTGTTTGATATCACACATATATGTGGAATCTAAAAATAAACTATGGAGCATAACAAAAAAGAAACACTCACAGGGAACTAGTGGCTATCAGTAAAGACAGGGAAAGGAGGAGGGACAAGATAGGGGTAGCGGATTAAAAGGTACAGATTTTAATGTATGAAAAAAGCTACAAGGATATATTGCACAGGGAACATAGCCAGTGTTTTACGAGACGCATAAATGGAGTCTAATCTTTAAAAATTGTGACTCACTGTGTTGTACACCTGAAACTTAATATTGTACGTTAACTATACGTCAATTAAAAAAAACCCTCAAAACAATGTGCAAAACCTAAACGTGTACACAGAAGATGCTTAAAGGAACGCGGAGTCCACTAATGTTAGAAAAATTAGAACAGCTCAATTAGGGACACGATAATAGGGTTAACCAAGTGACATGATTTAATGAGGACAAAAAGGTCACCGACCACGCATCCCACTTAATATTTGCGCCCTGAGTGAAGTTTTTTTTTTTCAATTACAGAAAGTCGTGGTTTTTATAACTCAAGCAAACACGGTCAATCACACAAGGCTCAGGGTCCTTCGGTGTGGTCTTTTCAATGCTCCAATCCCCTTCGAGGTAAAACAAGACCTGTCTGGCGCGGACGCCACCCGCTCCTGGGCCGACGGCGGTGGGACCTGAGACCCGGATCCGCCGTCGCCATGACACCGAAGCTGCCGGGAGGCGTGGGCGAACACAACCTTCCACTGTGGAGACAAGATGCGCCTATGGCGCAAGCGCGAGGCCTCTGCGCCCCTCCCCCAGGGCCGCGCATGCGCAAACGTAGCTTCATGCTCTATGGCTAGAGGCCCTCACTTTGTCGTCACAGGGCAGATGATCAGGCTTCGTCTGCCTATTCCCTCCCTCTTCCATCCTCCTCCCTTTCCCCCTCCCCTTGTCCCTCAGTCTTCTCCCTCCTTCCTCTCTCCCTCCCTCTGGCGTCCCCTGTCGACTCCCGCTTCCGGTCGGCGGCCGTCTGCGGAAGGGTGTCCCGCCTCTTCCGCCTTCACAGCGGAGGTGGCGGCGGTGGCCAGCAGGCGGGTTCCCTGGGCGGTCCACCTGCGCGTCGCGGAGCCGCGCCCTGGGGGTCGATGGCGATGAACTATAACGCGAAGGATGAAGTGGATGGTGGGCCCCCGGGTGCTCCTGGGGGCACCACTAAGAACCGGAGACCAGATAACACGGCCTTCAAACAGCAACGGCTCCCGGCTTGGCAGCCCATCCTTACGGCTGGCACGGTGCTACCTACCTTCTTCATCATCGGCCTCATCTTCATCCCCATTGGCATCGGCATCTTCGTCACCTCCAACAACATCCGCGAGATCGAGGTGAGCGGAGGGGAGGCAGCGGCGGTGGGACTTGGCGGCGTTGAGGGGGCGAGGGGTCCTCCCGTCTGCTCCACTCCTTCCCGGGCTCCCGGGACCGGCGGGCCCCGCCCTCCCCCACCTCTCTCCCTCGGGTTCTTCTTTCAGTTTCTGCGAGTTTTCGGAATTTGCAGTTTTGCCCGCGCTTCCTCTCGCTATTTACACGTTACAGAGGGAGTGAAATGTTGTATGGAGAGTGTGGGTGAGGGGAAGAACGCCCCTTTGGTGGGCGGTTTGTGTGGTATGAACCTCCAGCGAAGGTTAAAAGAGAAAAAAAAAAAGAAAAGTGGAAAGAAGTTTCGTGGAGATGAAACTCCCGGAGAATTGACACGGTCAGAGTGTCATTACCTGTGTGGGGATTATCCCAGGACACGGAAATTAACACTTTAGCCATTGTTGGGGAAAGGATCCAGAGTCATAGAGGCACTGATGATTTTTATGTAAAGCTGTCATGTTAGCAGATCACACATTGCGACCTATGACCGAAGTGTGAACAGTACCTTTCATTTTGAGCTGATTGATGCTTTTAGTTGTAGGACATGATACCGGTAAAAGGTTACCTGAAACTTCAATTCCGATTTTGCTTTTAGGCTACATTGATTAATAACCATGCCCTACATTCGCCCTAGTTGCCCTCCCCCCCACCCGATTTTAAACTTTTTAAAAAAATCAATGACCACACACAGAAATATTTGTGGATCGCTTACTGAACATTTTACTGATATAAGACAGGATATAAAACTTGCGGGAGCATTTTTTTAAAATTGAAGTATAGTCGGTTTACAGTGTGTTAATTTCTGGTATACAGCATAGTGATTCAGTTATACATATATACATAATTCTTTTCATATTTTTTATTATAGGCTATTACAAGGTATTGAATATAGTTCCCTATGCTATACAGTAGAATGTTGTTGTTTATATGTTTTATGTATAGTAGTTAGTATCTGAAAATTTTGAAATCCCTCCAACCCCCCCACTCCCCATTCCCCACTAGTAACCATACATTTGTTTTCTATGTCTGTGAGTCTGTTTCTGTTTTGTAAATAAGTTCACTTGTCTCATTTTTTTAGATTCCACATATGAATGATATCATGGTATTTTTCTGGCTTAATTCTTTCTGGCTTACTTCACTTAGTATGAAAGTCTCCAGGTCTATCCATGTTACTGCAAATGACATTGTTCTTGTTTATGGCTGAGTACTATTCCATAGTGTATGTATTCACTGGATAACTTTATCCATTTATCTGTCGATGGGTATTTAGGTTGTTTCCAGGTCTTGGCTAATCTTTTTGCATTAGAGTTTCCTCCAGCTATATGCCCAGGAGGGGGATTGCTGGATTGTAGGGGAAGTTTTTTTTTTTTTCAGTTTCTTAAGGAATCTCCATACTGGTTTCCAAAGTGGTTGCACCAGTGGGGAAGCACCTTGACTTCTGTCAGAGAAGCAATCATAATATCTTCACCTGTCTGCAGCAGTGAACCATAGGTTGATATATGATGTAAATACTTTGTGTAGATGTCCAGTGTTAAACATCTGCGTGTTATCTTTTCTTGAATATCTGAGAGTATTTTTATCTGTTTGAAAGGACAGGTACGTGTACCAGGTTCTCTTGCTTTCTTTTGTTCTATCAGATTATGTCACTTTTGTCCCCTCTAATTTTATTAAATACCTTTATGTTTATGCATGTGATTTAATAGAACTTTTAGAGAAATCTTATTTCAACTACAGGAATAGGCGTAAAAATACCTACTTTCTCGTTTAATTTACAGTGTTACCTGTAAAAGCAAAATCATTTTTTTAATTGTACAGTGCTCATTTCTGTGTTAATAATAAGAGTAGTATCTATAGCAGAGTTTTTAAAACTCTAAAAATCTATTTAATAAAATTTACTAAAAATTTATTTTCAGTTTAATAGCTAGAGAAAGTATCACAATATGTCTTTTCAGCAAATATTTTTGTTTTGTGATTTTTATCTCCCTAGTAGTCCTTCAAATGTAGTACTTCTTGTTCCCCAACCACACCAGGACCACACATATCAGGATATGAGCAAAGTGATGTAATGCAAGGACCTTAGGCTCTAGGCTGGGTTCCAACTCAGCCACTAACTAGCTCGGTTTCTTGGAAAACAATCTCTCTGAGCCTCAGTTCCTCACCTGTAAAATAGGTAAATAATGCTTACTTTGTGAAATGTGAGAATTAGAAACAATAGAGATAATATTCCTGGCACTAAGTTTGTACAATAGTTATTGTTATGATCCCTGGTCGGGAGATGAGAAATGGAGTCAGACAGGTGGATATTTGCTAGTAAACTAGAAGAGTATTGTAAAATTGAGATAGAAACCAACCCAGATGTCTTCATTTCCAGTCTTAAGCTAAATAAAATTTGCAATTTTATATAAGGAGCATTTACTAAATTACTGGGACACAACTGTCAATATTTACTATACTATGAATATAAATGTTTACTTTCTTTAAAACTTTGGGATTCTGAAATAAAATAAGGTTCTTCACACTAAGTAGTTGGTGAAATGGGAATTTCTTAAACAGTTCTTATCTGTGTAATTCTGATTTCAGGTTGCCCGAAGAGTCTGCTGCAGCTTGATCTAGTTAAAAGGGCACAAGGCTGGAGGTGAAGTCCCAGCTTTTAGGTTGTGATCTTAGGCATATTTCTGAGTCTTGATTTTAATGTTACTGGAAGAGCCAGAAGATCCAGACTCGGTGGTCTGTAAGAGGCTGTACACTCTTAACATTCTTTGACTTCCAACTTTAATGTGATTTAAAGAAAAATGCTGCATATTCAAATTTTATCACCTTTGGAACCAGCGGAAATGAAAATCAGGAATGATTAGAAATTTTGTACCAATGCTGACGTACAGTTGTGCAGATAGAATAATTAAAAAAAAATTGTTGAATATGTAGAGAACTGATTCTGAATAGGGTCTGGAGTTATAAGAAAAACCTAGGGAGCTTTCCCGAAACACGCATTTGTTTCTGACTGCTCTCCACCCTTTCTCAGCCACTGGTTTAGTTTATGTTAAGGGTTATTAAAAGTAAACGTGTAATGAGAAGTTCTTACCAACATTCACTTCTATGCTGTAAGTTGCTCACACCTCTTTAGCTTATTTCTTCATTTCTGAACATTTCAGGAACTTTCATTGCTGTAATACATCAGATTCCTAAGCCAAAGGAGAACTTGTCAAATCAGAATGCTTTTGTAATATTGCTTAAAGTGCTAAGATCAGAAATCCAAACTTTTTAGGTATAAAAATCCGTGGATCTTCACCCTTTTCCCAGAGATTTTTTTACAAAAAATTTACTTTTCTTGTAAATCACATTGGGCTCTCCCAAAAAGGGTATAGAAAGGTATTTCAAAATGTTAATGCTTCTATTTAGCAGTATATCTCCTCCCCATCATTAGGTTTATATATCTTGTTTATTTGGTTTTTAAGATTTTCCATGAGATAATAAAATGAAGTTGTGAGAAAATTAAAGTTGTTAATTTTATCATTCATAAGAAAATATTTTAAATATTTAATATTTAACACTAAGATTTAATATCTTCACTTTTTATTAGCGAGGAATGAATATTTTCTTTAATTTGGTAATTGTAGGAGTCAGGCCCATCTTTCCACCACAAAGGTAATGTTTACTTAGTCTAAAGCCCTTGTTGGTGAGGCTGAGGTAATAATTGAATAGGACTAACTTGACGGAGACTAGGTGTGTAATTTCACACATTTATCAATGTGAAGTTGCGTAGTTGTAAATTAATGTTTAGAATCAGATGAGGACATTATTCAATGTGATATTCAGCATAAATTTAAAAGCCAAACATTTACTTCAAATTAATATTGCCAAAAATGTTCAAGACACATTTTTATTAAATTTTAGTGGATTAGCACCGCCACCCCCATGCACACATGTTTGATTGAGAAACCCCAGCTCTTTTCTTCACCTTATTATTGTTTGATTTATTGCCCTCAATTATTAATCCTGGTTATTTTCTGTTTCCCTTGTTTCTGATAAAAATAAATTTTTATCTTTTGTTTTTACTCCTGTGTAACTTGGATTCTTAGAGTCTAAGATTTAAAGAGGATCTTCTGTATTTAGTATTCTTGTTTATACTTAGCCTATAGTTAAGAGTCAAGGAAGAATAAGTTGCTTTGTTGAAATGATTGCTAAAAATAAGGCAGTGTATGTTAAGAAGTGTAAAGATTTTAATATTCAAATGAATTGCAGTTGCATAGAAGCTGACCCTTGGAAATTAAGAGGTTTGATTAGTGTTTTTATTTGTTTTTCACCTAACTTTAGTATTTAGGGCATGACAAAGTGAATATGGCTAGCCAGACCATTTTTCTAAGTCCCAGGAACTGAGATTGGTTTTACAGATGAACATTTGCAATTGAAACTGATGATAGGGAACACTAACTTTCAGCCCTAATTATGTGAAATGCTGCTCCCCCAAAGCAGTTTTATTCTTATTAGTAGACCTGTGTTACCAGAAAATTGTTCACAATTATTATATTTTGAATTTTATCAATAAAAGTTCATGCAAATTTGTTTTCTCTCTGTTATATAAGAACCTACAAAATATCCTCGATCTTGCCTCTTGGTTTGCAAAGCCTGTAAAGTATTTGCTTTCTGGCCCTTTACAGAAAAGAATTTCCTGCCCTTGACTTAAGAGTTTTAAAGAAACATACTGGCACATTGAGCATTTGTTACAAAAATAGCAGTGTTTAATTTATACACTCTAATCCTCAATAATCTTTTCAAGGTAAGTATAGTGATGACTAATAATTGCTTGCGTCCTACCTTGAGAACTGTAGCTAAATTTACCATTAATCTTGGCTCAGGTATTATTATTCATTTCTTTGTCACAGTCAGATAAAGTGCAAGCAACTAAAGAAATTTTTACTTTGGTTCCCTCTTGTCCTCAGCGCCTCGAGAAATCTCAAATAATCCTTTT